GTTTAATTGGAACAAAGTTCATGTAACGTACGTGCTCAATAGGAACTCTCTTAAGTTCAGGTGTCTAAATGAAAGATCGTGTCAACTTTAAGTGTCTCTGTATGTATTCAGCCAACATCGAATAATGCTGAGTGGGAAATCACAAAAAGCATTATTAGTGCACAATTCACTTGTCAAATTCAAAGTTCAAATGCTCGAGTGTGAAATATTCAGAGGACCAAAAAGTCTAAGGGTGCATGAATTAATGTTGATGAATTTGTTTTTGCTTCACCTTTTTGACGAGGAACTTGAAGTATCTGAAATCTGAAGTCGTGGGGTGTTTAAAGTTTAAGAAAAGCACAACATTAATTTATTAAATTTCACCACCAATTTTGAACTTTGAAATTTTTTATCAAGTCTAGGTACATATTTTGTGTATTAAGTTCATTCTGCTCCAATTGGTGAGTTAAAGTCTAAGCTGCAACTAATTGAGTGGTCCAACACTATTTATTGTCCACTTGATACTAAACAGTGTTTGTACAATCATCCATTTATGTCTTTTGAGTCTTTATGTATACTTCTTCAGTAAATATTTTCATAGCTTTAATTAATCATAAAATTATTTGTCAAAATTACCTTTTCTGACTCTCTTAAATGTCTTAATTCATATCACGCCACTTATCAGACCAATAAGGGTGAATTAAAAATTGAAGAACCATAAAACGCTTCAGTTTGGCCACTGAAAAAAGGCAAAGGTCAAATGAGAGACAGGCAAAGAAAAAGTATTTTTATCCGACTGACGAAACAATTCAATATATATCTTTTTTTCAAAATATTAAATATTTCAAAAGAATTTAAATTTGTTAAGACGACTAATATTTAGATTCGAAGGAGTTACCAATTTGTTTATGATAATGATGGAGTAACAAATTAAATGGATATGGATTGATGGTAACGTGAGCATCTCATTGGCCAGAGACTGAGACTTAGGGAGCTTCTTTTGCAAAAGATAGAGACATATACCAACAAAAGCAGAATTCAGTAACGGGAACGAGAGAGACCAAGCATATTGTGGTTATCGTTCAGAATCTATTTATTTTCAAAATCCTATTTGGTATGTAACGTTTATTTTGAGAAATCATTTCTTTTAAATATTTTTCGGTATTTGATTGGTACAAAAGTACATGGCATATACGAGGTGGACCACCGTCTAAAGTTGTCGATCAATGTTAATTAGTTTGAATATTGAATAATCTTTTTTCTTTTTTATCATTAGGTATTCGGTATTGTTGCTGGAAATAATCTTTTCACTGATACTACAACAAATAAGGAAGATGACGGAGGAGAAGAGACCTAGATTCTATTGAGTGTATTTGGGTTATGTCTGAAAGAGACGACCACAATGTTACAATCTTGGTCTCATCAAATGGACACATGGCGTGCATTCAATGCCCCAGATCTACGGTCAAAGATAAAGCCAAAGTCCCTCCTCTATAAGAAGTTTAGAATAGTGTGATTACCTGTAAATATAACTCTTTGTATTTATCTTTACTAGTAAGCTACACATTGACAGTGTATATATAGAGACCACTGTACAAAGTTATCTACACAGAAAATAGAAAAACAATTTTCCACAGCTTTTTTTCTTCTTGAATATTCACTAATCTGATTAGTTTAGATTCATGTCGCATGACATCTATTAAAGGAGAAAGTGTTCACTACTAGGAATTTCTTTATTTATAAGCTCGAAGCTTGTGAATTCCTGTTACTGTTAAGAATGAAAGAATCATATTCATCCCACCATACTTCTTGATGGTGAAACTAAATGATCTAAATAAAGTTGAATGAATGCATATGATTCATAGACCCAATTAATTTAGGACTATGATGTAGTATTCAGTCAATTAATTGATTGAAAGATAAACAATAATGCTCCTTGTTCGACGAAAAAGAATACTGCTTGTTCGTTGAAGCAAATGATATGAGCAAGAATTAAATTGTTTTCGTTTCTTATTTGATGAAAAATATTTTTCTCGAAAAACATTCCAGTAATTCAAACAATCAAATACTAAAAATTATTTTATTATAGAAGACGTTTTCCCCATAGACACCCTAAATTTGAATTATTTGGAGTTTTAAATGAATTAACGAAGATATTGTATTTTCAACTCTATCAAAAGACACATATTCCATTATGGTTGTTTACTTCCACGGATTACAAATATTTAAATATTCTTTTCACATCTATTATCAAGACTAAATAATTGTATATTTTTTCTATTGATTTTTGATGATATTATGCATGGCGTAGTATATCGATAACAATGAAAGTAATAGTAAAAGAAAAAATCGTTGACTTCAAAAATCACGAGGATAAATGGATAAAACATAAAAGATAATGAAAACAAAGACATTCCTTTTTCTTTGTTCTTTTTCTTTTCTTTCCCGGAGCACGTTTCTTTATCTACCCCCACCACCACCACCACCACACACACAACCCATTCCCACCCAACAGAATACACACAGAGACACATGTCTGACGGCATAGGACATGAATAAATTAGTTTAAATTTGTACACTGATAATGTATAATTTTTTTGCATCATCAGGTAAAAATCTATAATAATTAGCAGTAGTAAATTTGATATGATAACCAAAAAAAATAAATTAATATTTTTGTTATAATAAATGAAATTGCAATGATAATGTTAAATTTTTTACCCTGTCATTATACAAAAAAAACTAAATCCTAAACAGAAAGTTGCTCCATCTTTCCCAGGCTGTCTTCCCTTTCTAATATAAATATGTTTTATATTCCCGTGACTAGAAGCTGTCCAAGCAATAAATAAACAACCCCAAGAAGATTAATGTAAAAGGGGTCAAGATTAAAGAACTGGAGGCAAGTGGAAGCTAGAAACATCCCCCCATGCACCAACATGTACAAGTCAGTTTTAATTTATACCTTATTGTCTTTTTTTAACTTCTCACTCGATGTTCAGTATTCGTATTAAAGCTCCAATTAATCTAAATTCGTGCCATGTAAGATCTATTGAATAGAAAAGTGCTTCCTACTATAATTTTTTTCTTTTTTATAGCTCAAATTCAAAACTTTTGATTAAGAGGGGATAGATCTTATCCATCCAACCACCATCATTAAATGTTGTATTATTTTGCCTCAGGTTGATTATTCATCGTTGCAACTTGCAACTTGTAGCTCGTCACGTTCTTCTTCGACCCCATTTTTCTTTGTTTAAATTGCTTTTGAATATTAATGAATTAGACGACAAACTATATATTGACTAATAACAAACACAAATCTATCAGTTTCACAATTATTTTCGGTATAACCATCAAGTATTCAAAGTTTATGTATTGGCCCAACTTATCAGTATTTGCACAGAATATTATTTATTAATGGATCGGAAGTAAACTCCTCTAAATGAAAAAAATTTCATTTACAAAGCTAGAAATCTGTGGTTAGGGATTACAGTTCCAATATATCTCTTCTGTACATTTATTTTGGAAAAAAAAGTTCAAATAAAACACAAAATAGTCTACACTTCATATATTCATTTTTTTTTTTTTACATTTTGATAACAAATAACAAAGGTAAGGAAGGAAGGGGATGAATGAGTTGACTGTTACTACTCACTATTTTACAAACCTATAGACCTTTCTTCATATTTTGTATGTGTGTCAACAATCATATTCATAATTTTGGTCTTTTCTGACTTTTTCGGCTTTTTTTCATCCAATCTTTTAAGCCGTTTGTATCAATATGAATCCAACAATAGACAGAATAGACCATAACCTCCTAGTTGTTGAATAATTGTTAATCATTTGGAATGACTATTTCTCTGTTCGGAAAAGAAAGAATAGTCAAAGTTTTAAGAACCCAAATATTGTTTATTTCTTAGTGACCTACATGATTCATTACAAAGAACGTACGCCACCAATATATTATAACGAAATTTGTTATAAAATGAATATTTATTTCAAAAGAAGGGAATAATCCCCTTACCTTTTTTTTTATGGTTATGTCATATGGGATCTCCTTACCTCACTAACAAAAAAAAACAGAAAATGAAAGAATTTAAATCAGATTACTCAAAAAGTAAAGTTCTGTCTTATTTTCTAATTCACTTGGTTGCATTTTTGTTTTCCGTATAAGTAATACCAATATAATTTTGTATTTCTGCAAAGCTCTTTTTAGAAGGTCAAAGTTAAAATTGAAAACAAGAATTTATCCCAATTTATGTAGTTTAAATTAAACAAATCACTAGTGCTAAATAATCCAGGAATTATCAATCTCCGTATTACAACTTTATGCATTATAATTCCACCATAATTTTGTCCGTAAAACACACATGACCCCGTAAAGGGATCGTTTAGTTCAAAACAGGGTTATTCCAAGGATTATAATCTCACCTCCTATATGGATAAATAATACTCCCTCCGGTTTACAATAAGTGATCAGTTTACTTTTTCATTTTGGTTCAAAATAAGTGTCCAGTTAGGTAATTAAGAAAAAATTCAATTTGTTTTTACTCTTTTACCCTTATGTGCATATCCTTAAAAAGTTTTCTCACTCCTCACTATAACTATGTGACCAATATTTAATAAGGGTAATTTAGTCATACTAGATATATTTGTATATGATTTAGCATTTTCTTAATGAGCGTGTTGAAAGGAAAGTGGTCACTTGTTGTGAACCGGAGGGAATACCAAGTTTTTAGTATAAAGTTATACTAGTAATAGCTAATACTGATGCAATCCCAAATTTTATACCGGATTACTAACCAAACGACCCCTAAGTTTTTGTCCTAAAAAGTAAAAATAGATTCTTTTTGTCTCCTACTAAAAAGTAAAAACAGATATTGCCTGTAGTAATAACGGTTTTACCCGCAAAGACTATTTCAGGTAAGTTAAGAGACTGTTTGTCTCAAAAGTTTCAACAAGACTAATGGTCAAAGCCGCACTTGTCAAAACCAATGCCAATTCAGAGAAAGTCATCAGAAAGCTGCTACAACCTTCACATATATTTAGGAAGCATCATTTGTTTTACTCTATTTCATGGAAATATTATATTCCAGTCTTATAATCTGATAATATATCTCTAGAAGGGTCAGTTTCTTATCAGCATATATAGATCTTATTCACTCATATAGTGATATCTTGCTTTTTGCATCAAGATTTCAGCTTTCTTCTGATTCTTGAGACAAGTTTGATTCTTTATATTTCTTGGGAGATATTTCTATTTTTGTACCTTTTTAGGAAATCCTTAATTAGCTAACAACTTTGGGTTTTTGGGATATCTTACTTTCTGTATCAAGATTTCAGCTTTCTTCTGATTCCCATTTATCCTATCTTTGATTGTCCTTTAATTTCCTTTTAAATTTCTAGCTTGAGCCCTTTTGTTTGTCTATCCAATTCACCCTAAAAAGTGGGGTTGGAGTTAAAGAAAAAATTGATTCTTTAGATGTTGTGTGGGTTTAACTATATGGGAGACTGTGAAGCTACTCTTCCTGTAATGGAGGATGAGGAAAAGCTGATTGCAGCTGCACAGCAGATTGTGAAAGCATTGGAAAAGAAACAGAATTTAACACATGATGCAAGAAAAATTCTGGCTGATTTAGGCTCTCAGTTGTCTTCCATAACCAAATTGAGTGAAAACAAACATGAAAAATTATTTGGTGAAACTGAAGACACTGTAGAGAAGTTCAGTGAACTTGAGGAGCAGCTTAACATTGTGCAGAATAAGGTGATGAGCTGGGAAGTGGATCAATCTGTTATATGGGATTGTGGTCCTGAATATGCAGATGATTATTTGAGGTCTGTGGATGAAGCTCGAAAACTGATTGAACGGTTAGAGAGTTTGAATGTGGATAAAGATAGTAAAGAGGATGAGCTTTTGTGCAGGGCTCATGAGGTTATGCAAATAGCGATGAATCGGCTTGAGGAGGAGTTTAGGCATTTGCTTGTTCATAACAAGCAGCCTTTTGAGCCTGAGCACTTGTCTTTTCGTTCAAGCGAAGATGATGAGGGTTCTATTGTTTCATTTGGAGATGACTCAGTAGAGGATGTGGTTCAAAGAGATAGCATGAGTAGGCGCTCAGAGGAATACGTAGTTGAACTTGTGCATCCGGATGTGATTCCTGACCTAAGGTGCATTGCCAATTTGATGTTCAATTCAAATTATGGTAGAGAATGTTCTCAAACATTTATCAGTGTTAGAAAAGATGCATTGGATGATTTTTTATTCATTCTTGAAGTTAAGAAGTTGAGTATTGAGAATGTGATGAAGATGGAATGGAACTCATTGAACTCCAAAATCAGGAGGTGGATACGGTGTATGAAGATCTTTGTTTGCGTTTATCTAGCGAGTGAAAAATGGTTAAGTGATCAGATTTTTGGTGATCTTGATTCAGTTAGTTCGGTTTGCTTTGCTGAATCTTCAAAAGCTTCAATACTGCATCTACTGAAATTTGCTGAAGCAGTGGCTATTGGATCTCATCAACCGGAGAAGTTGATTCGGATTCTTGACATGTATGAGGTGCTTTCAGATCTTATCCCAGATATTGATGCTATGTACTCTGATGATGCTGGATTATGTGTTAGAACCAAGTGCCAAGACATCCTCGAAAGCTTGGCCGATTGTGCAAGAACAACATTTCTTGAATTTGAGAATGCTGTTGCATCCAGCATATCGACGAATCCTTTTCCTGGTGGTGGAATACATCCTCTCACAAGATACGTTATGAACTACATGAAAACTCTTACAGATTATAGCAAGATCCTTAACGAGCTTCTGAAGGACAACGAGCAAGAAGATTTGGTGGCGATTTCACCAGAAATGACACCGGATAGGGAAGAGGACAACAGTAACACAAGTTGCTACATTTCTCCACTGGCTCAACATTTTCGAACCTTCACTTCAATGTTGGAATGCAACCTAGACGATAAGTCCAAGTTGTACAAGGATGAATCATTAGGCCACCTTTTCTTGATGAATAATATTCATTACATGGCTGAAAAGGTGAAGAATTCTAATGATCTAAGAACAATACTAGGCGATGATTGGATTCGCAAACACAATTGGAGATTCCAACAACATGCAATGAACTACGAGAGGGCTACTTGGAGCTCCATCCTTTCGTTACTTAGGGACGAGGGGCTTCAGAATCCAGGCTCAAATTCTATCTCTAAAACTCTACTCAAAGAGAGACTGCACAGCTTTTATCTTGCATTTGATGAAGCTTACAAGAGCCAAACAGGTTGGTCAATACCTGATTGCCAACTTCGTGAAGATCTTCGAATCTCAATATCTCTCAAAGTTATTCAAGCATACAGAACATTTATCGGAAGGCACACTAACCATATTAGTGACAAATACATTAAGTACAGTGCCGATGACTTGGAGAATTTCTTGTTGGATCTCTTTGAGGGATCTCCAAGATCATTACATGGTTCTCACAGGAAGTGAGCTTAATGTATCAAGGGATTTCTGTCAAAATGAGATCAAGATTTTTTCATTCTCAATTTGTTATTTAGATTGTAAATGATGTCCATTTTATAATAGGTTGATTGTTTCACTTTTGTATTTTCCCAAAGTGAACGAGTTATTTCCCTATTGTATTTATTAACTTTTTTGACATCAAAATTTGGTTTTTCAGATTGAATGACATGTAAATTATCTCAACTTATCTACAACTGGGATCAAATCATTACTTTTAGAATGCAAATAGTGTGTTGTATTATTGAATTATTGGGTAATTGTTAATATCAATATTAGTATTTGGACTATGTATCTTTGCCCAGACCTCAGTATCCTTTTTATGCTTCTTCATACTCTATGGGGTGAGAAACTCCCGTTTCCTTCTTCTTTCTTACTCCTTTGGGGATGGTTCAGGGGGAGTCGGTTCTGCCTTAGCCTAATTCGATCGTAACTTGGTTTGATAATCTTTTTTCATAAATTTCTTTCACCAAGTCATCGTCCGCAATCAGCTCTCATATCAAAGGATGAGTTCCTTTCTTTTCTTTCTTTATTCTTATTGGTGAAAGCGACCTTTCTGGATAAGTAAATTAAATTATTTCAGCTAGACAAGCAAGGTGGAATAGCTCAGTTGGTTAGAGCGTGTGGCTGTTAACCACAAGGTCGGAGGTTCAACCTTCTTCTAGCGATTAACTTTTTATTTTTTCAGTTTATTACTATACTAATATTTATCCTATGGGTTTACGTGAACTCAGTAACTTTTGCCTAAAATTTAGAGTATTTTGATTATAAAATCTTTGAAAGGGATTATATTTCTCAAATAAATTTCTCTACAATAAAATCTACCCATTTTTATATTAATTTTGGCTCTCCTATCACTCTCCCAACTCTTCTATGAATTTAAACATAAGACAAACATAAGTTTCATATCAAGCCTACTAATTTCCAAAAGAACCAAAACATGCTCCTGAAAAGAGAGACTTGTGACTCTTTTACTTGAGTTTTTATTTTTCCATGCAATCACATATAAAGCAAATTAGTAATTATTTGATGCAAAAAGGAGAGCAAGATTGGAAACTGCTCCCCTTGGTTCTTGAACTTAAATATACTTCAAAAGACAAAAACTTATAAGTGCAACGATATTAGATTTGACTCTATTCCAATGTTGTAAGCAACTAGCGAGAAACAAAAAAACATGAATATGATTGCTAAAGTTTTGAAAATGTGACAAATATGTTGGTTTCAGGTATCTTCTTACTTGTTGTATTTGTAAATTATATTTCTGGAGAAAAGAAAGTTAGCGTATAAACGTAAATACAAACAAAACAGTAATTAATTCGAGCCCACTGAATTCACAGTGTCTCCTTAAGGAATTTAATCCCCTCCTAGTACCCAAGGTTATGGATTATTTCTTCCAGGATAGAACGAATTACACACTAATGTAGCGGTACTTCAAACTCCAGTATTTCAGCGAACACAAAGTTCGGTAGCAAATCACACTTACGGTTGTTTTGTTTGTAGTTTTAAAACAATGCACAACAAAGGAGGAGAACTCAGAAGTCGAATGGAAATTCTGAGATGAAGGAATGCAATTTATAGCCGATGTTGAGTTCTTACTGAAGAGGATATCAGTAGTTGTGTAAACTGAAGAGGAACGATTTTTTTATGTGTGTCTTCAACAAGTTGCTTGCTCCATCTATTTATAGTGCAGTTAGCTGCTAAACACGGACCCGCTGCCACTCATTTAGTGGAGCACTTGGCCATGGTGGACGGAGCACCAGGCTGCTAACTAATGGAGCAATCACTTGATATTATGGAGCAAGCNGTTTACAAATACGGATAATCTTACGTTAATATTTACTATTAACAAATAAATTTGGTCCAAAAAATTAATCAATCAATCGATCATTTGACCAAATCCAAATCTGAATCCGAAGTTGAAGCCGTAGCCGAAGCCGAGCCAAGCGAGCGAGCGACGACGACGACGCGAGGCTTGCCTTCTTCTTAACTCTTTAAGAGCTACAAGAAGAGCAATTGTATATATACCCACCAAAATACTTTTCTTCTTCCAATATGGTACAATGTTTCAAGAGAGAGAAACTTAAAATTTTACTCAAAAATTTCATTTTTCCTCAATTTTCCATTCACCCTCTTTTTAAGACTTTTCAATCTTAAAATCCTCAACAATCCCCCACATGGGAATGGCTATATCACGGAAGTATGCATGAAAAACTTGTGTGATTTGCAACAAGGATTAATTGCATCTGGATAAGTAGGTTTCCCTTTGATCTTTCCGTAGTGAACTTATGTCGGATATACTCGGTCAATCGGTAGATTTGATATCTTTGAACCGTCGAACTTTAGTATATACCTAGACAACCATAAGTTACACAATCAGCCCTTAACCATCTTTGGTTCTCATTGTTGTGTTCGTTTCAGCCATGAACACCGCATGGTTTCATAAGTGCGTAGAGAATTGGCCTTGCAAAATTCTCCTTGAAGCAGCTAACACTTCACACTTACATAGGTGATTTCTAATCGTGTCATCCCGTAGATACACTATTTGATATACTCCGTATCAAATTTAGAAATCATTAAAAAGCCTTAATGTTTTATCCTTGGTACTGAACATTGTCTCATCACGAGAATGGACCAAAATTTTTGTTGACAATGTTGAACCGTCATTAATGACTTTGTTTGATCTCCTTGAACCTAGATCTTGGGATCTCTAGTCTTCTAGGTAGAGTTACCGCCACAATGACTTGTTCTCGGCCGTAGTCTCATTCCCCTCGATGATTTCTCAACTACCTCTCTAGTTAGGGCTTTTGTAAGTGGATCCGACACATTATTACTTGACCTTACATAGTCAATTGTGATAATTCCTCTAAAGAGTAGTTGCCTAACGGTTTTATGTCTTCGTCGTATATGACGAGATTTACCGTTATACATAACGCTCCCAGCCCTTCCAATTGTTGCTTGGCTATCACAATGTATGCATATTAGTGCCAACGGTTTGGGCCAAAATGGAATGTTTTCCAAGAAATTCCGAAGTCATTCAGCTTCTTCACCGGCTTTATCTAAGGCTATGAACTCAGCCTCCATTGTAGAGCGAGCAATACAAGTTTGTTTGGACGACTTCCAAGATACCGCTCCTCCACCAATAGTGAATACTTATCCACTTGTGGACTTCGAATCAGTTGAACCGATGATCCAATTTGCATTACAATATCCTTCAATCACTGCAGGATATTTACTGTAGTGCAAATCAACGTTTTGGGTCTGTCCTAAATATCCCAAAACTCGTTTTATTGCCATCCAATGAGATTGACCTGGATTGCTTGTGTATCGACTCAGTTTACTTATAGCACAAGCTATATCTGGTTGTGTACAATTCATGATGTACATTAAGCATCCCAACACACGAGCATAATCCAATTGTGATATGCTTTGGCCTTTGTTCTTTGCTAATGCAAGATTCACGTCAATTGGAGTCTTTGCAACTTTATAGCCTAAGTGCTTGAATTTTTCAAGTACTGTCTTAATATAATGAGATTGTGACAATGTCCGGCCTTGAGGATTCTTTTGGATCTTAATCGCCAGAATTAAATCCGCAACTCCCAAGTCCTTCATATCAAACTTGCTAGTTAGCATACGCTTAGTCACATTTATGTTGGCAATGTCATTACTCATTATCAGCATATCATCCACATATAGGCAAACAATGACTATGTGATTTGGAACATTTTTAATATACACACATTTACCACATTCATTCATCTTAAAACCATTTGACAACATTGTTTGGTCAAATTTCGCATGTCATTGTTTGGGTGCTTGTTTTAGTCCATAGAAAGACTTAACAAGTACTTACCTTCTTTTCATTACCTGGAACCACAAACTCTTCAGGTTGTTCCATGTAGATTTCTTCCTCAAATCTCCATTTAAGAAGGTTGTCTCTACGTCCATTTGATGAATTTCAAGACCATAAACTGCAACTAAAGCTACTAGCATTCGTATGGATGTAATTCTGGTCACTGGAGAATATATATCAAAGTAGTCAAGACCTTTTTGTTGTCTATACCCTTTGACAACAAGTTTTGCCTTAAATTTATCAATAGTGTCATCATCTTTCATTTTTCTTTTAAAAATCCATTTATAACCCAAAGGCTTATTTCCAGGAGGAAGATCAACCAATTCCTATGTATGGTTGTTCAATATGGATTCTATTTCACTATTGACTGCCTCTTTCCAGAACAATGATTCCGAAGAAGACATAGCTTCTTTAAATGTTTGAGGCTCATTCTCCAATAAGAAAGTCACAAAATCTGGTCCAAATGAAGTAGACGTTCTTTNCTTCTTTAAATGTTTGAGGCTCATTTTCCAATAAGAAAGTCACAAAATCTGGTCCAAACAAAGTAGACGTTCTTTGACGTTTACTACGTCTTGGATCCTCCCGATTAAATGTACTTTCTTTTGTTTCTTCCCGAGGTCATTTAGATCCTTTACCAATCGACTCGCATTCCTTTTTATATGGATATATATTTTCAAAGAACTCAGCATTATCTGATTTTATAACCGTATTATTATGAATGTCAGGATTTTCTGATTTATGAACCAGAAATCGATATGCTTTACTATTGGTCGCATATCCTATGAAAACACAATCAACTGTTTTCGGTCCTATTTTTACCCTTTTGGGTATAGGAACTTGCACTTTTGCCAAATACCCTCACACTTTCAAATAATTCAAGTTGGGCTTTCTTCCTTTTCATTTTTCATATGGAATGGATTGTGTTTTGTTATGGCGTACTCGATTTAGTATCCGGTTAGCCGTAAGAACGGCTTCCCCCCACAAGTTCGGTGGCAAACCAGAACTTATAGACAATACGTTCATCATCTCCTTTAATGAACGATTCTTTCTTTCCGCAATCATATTGGATTGGGGCGTGTAAGGGGTTGTTGTTTGATGAATAATTTCATATTCTAGACATATTTCTTCAAAAAGAGATTCATATTCACCACCCCTATCACTTCTTATCATTTTGACTTTCTTGTTAAGTTGTGTTTCAACTTCATATTTATATTGCCCGAATGCATCTATTGCTTTATCTTTACTATTAAGTAAGTAAACATGGCAATATCGAGTAATGTCGTCAATAAAGTTATGAAATACTTCTTTTCACCGCGAGATAGTATTGACTTCATGT